AGGCCTTACAGGGAATTTAAAAATAATGATAATAAAATTAAAATCTTTTTTCTTTCTTTTTTTTGTTTAGAGGTTTTTGCTTTAGGGTACGTAGAGGGAAAGTGAGAAATCACATTCTCCGCTCGGGATCTGGGGCACACACGCGCCCATGGGTTTCAAGCCTCTGGGCCCAGGACTCAAACTGTGGTTGGGCATGTGGGAGTCCAGTGCCTTAGCCACTGCACCCCCTGCGGGCCCTGAGTCTGTCAGTCTCAAAAGCAAGCAGCAGTTTGCCGTCCTGCACCTCCTTAGCACAAGATCAGGCTCCCCCACGATGAGCACTCCGCCTCTCCGGAATCTCTCCCTGCCCCTCGGTCTCAGCGGCCCACTGCTGCCCGGGCATCTTATGCCAGGAAAGAATGACACTGTCCAGGGGACCAGAGAGCTCAACTCAAAACGCACTTCCAGGACCACAGAGTCACACCACTCCAAACTCCGGCAGTGGCGGGGCTCGGGGCTCGTGGTTCTGAGCACAGGACTTTTGTCTCAGTAGAATCACCGCTTTGCTTCTGCACCTATGGCGCCACCTACAGGAAGTGAACTGATTACAACCCATTGCTTTGTCCACTGAACTTTTTTTATAGACCACAGATTAGTTCATTTTTAACACCCATCATGCCGTGAATTCATAGGGAATAGGTTCCAGGAGCTCCGGCTCCTTTCCATTGGTTCTCACAAAGCGTGCTTCTCTGGGTGGAGCAGGCTGGCGCTTTAGTTGAACCCAGGTCCCTTTCTCTTCGGCTTCCTTCTTTTTCTGCTCATTTTCCTTCACACATTTTAGGAAGCTCTCTCTGCTCTTAGAATGTTTAATATGCTCAATACGCACATTGATTCTCTTGGCAAGAATCTCGCCCTTAACTTGTTCGTTCACAACAGTATATATATATATATATATATATATATGTTGCCAAAGGAACCACTCCATGTTTTCTAAAAGGCCTAGAGAACATGTATCGGGTGCCTCTCTTCTTTCCCCTTGTGTTCGTCATTTTGGTGAATTACAGGTGTGAGGAGCCACGCGCAGGCCTGCACTTCTGATCCAAAAGAGCCGTTTGGACTGGTGGGCGGCATGGTGGTGGAGGCAGCTGGAACGCACCCAGCCGACTGCATGGTGAGTCCTTGATGTGGAAGCCAGGAAAAAAGCACACCAGGTGTGTGTGTGTGTGCACGTGTGTGCGTGCCCAAAGTCCCAAGAGGAGAATGGAGAAGGGATGCACCCTGGGGGTTGATTTCTGTTTCCCTCTCTCCAGTGAGGGTGCAGACCCTATGGTAAAACTACTTCCCCCTGGGGATGGTTACACCACCATCTCTTCTCCATTCTCTTCCTGGAATGTCGGGCAGGCACACACATACGCCCGGCATGATTTCAAGGCACCAGGTCTGGGACTCGAACCACAGTGGACCATGTGGGAGTCCAGTGCCTTAACCACCACGCCACCGGCTGGCCACCAAAGTTCTAGATTTCTGAATGACACTTGCTGGCATTTTTCATGTCAATGACCACCAACAGATCCCCGATCACTAATATCATATACAACTATAAAACCATGCCACTAAGAATCCATTTGGGGGCCAGCGGTGGTGTGGTGGCTAAGGCAGCTGGATTCACACAGAAATTGCCTGGTTCAAGCCCTGGACCCAGCAGCTGAGGAACATGCTGGGCTCGTACGCTTGCCTGTGTCCAAAGTCCCAGAAGGAGAGAAAGGTGGTGACGGGACTGCAGCATGACCACTCCCCAAGGGCGGGAGCTGCTCTTACTCCCCCTGGGGAGCATGTAGTCCTCTGGCAAGTAATAAATAAATAAATAAATAAAAATAAAAATAAAAAAGAGAACCCATTTGGTCAACCATGTACCTTAGCCAAAAATAACATGCAAGACAAAAACCGAGCTGTACGAATTAGACCGACTCCAGTTGTCCCGATTCTTGGGCTCCTGCCTCCTGCCGCGGGGCCGGTACCACTGCTCGGAGCGCGGAAGCTAGGAGAGGTTTATGAGCACGTTTCCAGCTTCCCCACGTAAAGGAGCTCCGAAACGCGAGCTCTCGGAAGGAGGGAGTCTTCCACTGTCATGCATTTGTCTTGCTGCTGCATAAGAAACCCCAGCAGGACCAGCACATGGTGTAGTGGTTAGGCTGCTGGATTCCCACATGGTTGAGCACAGCTTGAGTCCTGGACCTGGCAGCCGGAAACAGGTCGCGTATGTGTGCGTGTGTGCCCCAAATCCAGAGAGAACGGAGAAGGGATGCGGCATGGCCACCCCCTCAGGAGTGATTTCGCACTTTCTGCCTCTCCAGAAACTGTACATACCCTATAGCAAAAATCTCTCTTAAAAAAAAAGAAATGCCCCCCAAGAGATCGTGGTGTGGTTCCGGTGTCGTGTGACATGTCTGGACAGTCTTCAAGAGACTCCCGTCTGCCCCAGGATGGCGTTTACGCTGCTACCTGCTTTGCTGTGAAGAACCAATTAGTTCACCGTTGCTAAGAAGAAAATTATTGTAGGGGCCAGAAGGTGGCTTGGTGTTAGAGCAGCCGGGCCTTCACGTGGCTGGTCTCAGACCTGGAGCCGTGAAAACCACGCCGGGTGCGTGTGTGTGCACACAAAATTTCAGAATGGCGAAGGGACTGTCGTGTGGCCGTTCCCTCCGGGGGTATTCCTCACTTTCCCTCTCACTGTCTTCTCTTTCAATAAGCGAACACACCTTCTACTACATAGAACACGACAGGAAGAACTCTCTCGGGCCAGGAGGCGGCGTGGAGGTTAAGGCAGCTGGGGCTGGGCCAGATGCACAGTTTGAGTCCTGGAGCTGGCAGCCCGGAAACACACAGGGCCGTCTCAGATAGCCAGCTGCGCAGTTTGAGCCCTGGAGCTGGCAGCCCGGAAACACACAGGGTGCGTGTGTGTACGCCCCAAATCCTGAGAACCGAGAGATCTCGGTGTGACCATTCCCACTCAGGGGGTGGGGGGCTTTCTAAGTCTCGCTCCAGCAAGCACACGTAAATAACAAAAAAGATAAAAATAACCCTGATGGGACTTTGCAAAGAAGCTGCCGCTCACAATTTTATATAATCCTGAGAACGGAGAGATCTTCTCGGTGTGACCATTCCCACTCGGGTGGGGGGCTTTCTAAGTCTCGCTCCAGCAAGCACACGTATTCTACAATAAATAACAAAAAAGATAAAAATAACCCTGATGGGACTTTGCAAAGAAGCTGCCGCTCACAATTTTATATAAATTATCTTTTATTTCTGTGGCATACAAAAGGTATAAATATGATGTGTGGAGAACCAAGCCCCAGCACTCAAGCAGAAGGTACAGGAACTGTGGCCTACACGTCTGAGCCCGAGACGCGAGGAGAGGCAGACTCCGTCCCGCTGCCCACCGCAGGGTCTCTGCTGACACTGTCCTGGGCCTGGTCACAAGTGCGCAGCCGTGTTCAGGCGGCTTGTGCGGCAGCACCCAGGACGTGGGCGGAGGGCACTTGTGGCGTGAGGCACTTGGGGAAGCACACCTGAGCGGGACAGCCGCCCAAGACGAAGCAGGCGGGGCTTGCTGGCGGGTGAGCAGAGGGTCTGTGTCCCCTGACCTCCCACGGCTGTCTGCGTGGAGCACTGGGAAGCAGTAGCGACAAGGGAGCCCACAGACGTGACGGCCACCGCTGTCTGGTCCTCGTCCCAGGGTGGCCGAGGACAGCGGCTCGGAGATTGCAGCATGGCTGGGCGCTCGGGCCTGCACACGGGGAGCAGGGTAGGAGTCTCATGATGGCCAGTGGGGCGAACACCCTGGAAGACCAGCACGCTCCGTCTCGAGCAGCGGAGCACTCTGACCACTGAGCGGGCTGCAGGGGGCTGGCAGGCCACACTCTGGGCAGGACCTGCAGCTCCAGGCAGGCAGGGCCTCCCGAGGCCACTCCTGCACCTCCAAGAGTCCGGACAGCATGTACTCCTAGCTCTCACTACCTGTGTCCCTCTGCACTCGTGGGAGGCCCTCCAGGGTGAAAATGGGACAGCTACCAAACTATTCCCAGTCCTCACCAGACTGTCACCGCACACCAGAACCAAGACAGCCCTGCAAGGATCTCTCAGAGCTGAGCACACATCAGCCGCGGCCACCCCCATGAAGACAAGCCCACCCACCTGCTCCAAAGGCAGGCCGAGGGAGAGGCCTGTGAGGCTGGGGCTCCCCAGCCCGGAGGTAAGCCAGCTCCAGGGGGCAAGTAACCCCCCACTGCTGCTATAGGCCCCGCTGCCGGCCTGTTCTGCCGCCTCAGCTCTCTCAGGGAAGAACATGGATGCACTGGCCTCACGGCTGAGACTCTAGAAAGCACTGTCCCCAGAACGAGGTGAAAGCTGCCCAACAGCGGATGTGGCCTGGGCGTCTCTTCAGATCCAGCCTGTGGGGCCCCGTGTCCTTCCTACGCCCGTTTCCAGTCACGCGACATGACCTCAGGCCCACTGTGGGCGACGCTCAGGACCAAAATGACAGCCCAGAGCAGGCTCGGTGACGTCAGTCTAAGGGCCCTGACTGTCCACCTGTGACTGCCCGAGTCTGAGCTGCAGAGGCAGAGCCGAGTCCACGGACACCATCTGGCCATCTGCAGAGGGAGCTGCGGACCCCAGAGACTACGGGCAATTCAGTCTCTGAGAGGAGACCAAGTAGCCTAGAGCCGGATTCTGCAGCGAGCTTCCCAGCACTAGAGTCCCCACCGTGGCCACAGGGTCTGGAGGCAGCGGCCCTAGGAGTCACCACCGTGTCCTGGACAGACGCCTCTCTGGGCCGTCAACAGCCTCGCCTCGCCTCGCTATGCCGTGACCCCTGACCGTGTCTATGAAGTCCAGAGGAGTGCGTGTGCATATAGGTGTGTGTGCATTCAGGGGTCATTCCAAAAGGCGGACTTGCTCTTCACATCCTAGGCCGTGGGAGGCGCGGCGCGGGCCGGGGCGCAGCTACCTGCCCTGCAGGCTCTGTGCTGAGAAAGCCGGGCTCCAGGCTGCCTCCTCTATTCACACGCCAGCTTGCTGTCAAAGCTGGAAAGTCCGATGGCAAAGGCCTGCAGGGCGCAGAGCGGGTAGTTGTAGTCCAGTGTGAACACGTCATCGGCCACACGCCCAAACTGCATGACTATGTAGTCGGCTAGAAGCAGAAAGAAACCGGGGCGTTAGGAGAATGATAGCCACCAGGTGGTGTGGTGGGGACATGCTGGCTCCCACGTGGTGGAATGCACAGTGTGAGTCCCAGACATGGTGGCTTGAAAAACAGGCCAGGTGCGTGCATCCGAAATCCCGAGAGAAGAATGGAGGATGAGGGACTGCGATGTGGCCACCCCCTGTACGGGGCGACTTCTCACTTTCCCTCTCTGGTGAGAGCACACACCCTATGGCAAAAACCTAAAAAAAAGGTCAGGTGGTTGTACTGGGAGAACCTATTTAAAATAGAGAGAATAAAACCCTCCAAACGGGTTAGTCTCTTTAAAACAGGACGTTTTGGGGGTCAGTGGGTCGTGCAGTGGTTAAGGTGCTGGACTCCCACATGGCCGACGGCAGTTTGAGTCCTAACCACACACAGGGTACGTGTGCGTGTGCGTGCGTGCCCAAGATCCCAGGAGAAGAATGGAGGAGAAGGGACTGCGGTGTGACAATCCCCTTGGGGGTGATTTCTCACTTTCCCTCCCTGTCTCTCTCCAGTGAATGTATGTGCCCCTACAGCAAAATCCTAAACAAACAAACAAAACATGGGCGACGTTTAAAATGCTGGAGAGGCGTGGCGGGAGGATGTGCAGCCACACGCAAGGCTCCGGCCCCGTCCTCTTCTCAGAGCACAGGAGGCTGCTCCTGGGCAGTGCGCAAGAGCAGGCGGAGACAGAACCCAGGAAGCCTGCTGGGGGCGGTTGAGCTCGGGGGCTGAAGTAATTGAGGAAACTTTAAAAAAAAAAATTATTTATCTTTATTATTTTATTTTACCAGAGAGAGACAGAGATATGGAACATGAGGAAGCAAGGCACCAGCTCCAGGACTCGCAGCACAGTCGGCCCTGTGGGAGTCCAGTGCCTTTAACCAGCAGGCCCCCGGCCAGGTTCCCGAGGAGCCTATTTTGAGGGTCTGCATTTTCATCTGCTTCCTAAATAGCCCTACCTGAAACCACAGCACATAAAATAAATCTCAAGACCAGTAGTTAGCGTAATGGCTGTGTCACTGGACTCCCACGTAGTTGACCGCAGTTCAAGTCCTGGACCCAGTGGCTTTCACTCACACCAGGCGCATGTGTGTGCATGCCCAGGGTCCCGAGGGGAGAATGGAAGAGAAGGGATTGTGGCGTGGCCGGGGGATGATTTTCACTTTCTGTCTCTCACTGTCTGGCGAGCACATGCGCCCTATAGCAAAAAACCGCTCCAAAAATAAATAAATAAATAGATCTCTCACACTCCCCCTCAACACAGAAGTTTTCCTTTAAAACTGTATTTTGTATCCAAAGAAATCCTTTCTTGCTTAAATAATTCTGGGGCCAGCAGGGGTGGAGTGGTGAAGCAGGGGTGCAGCAGGGGTGCAGGGGTGAAGCAGGGGTGCAGGGGTGCAGCAGGGGTGCAGTGGTCCTTGCTCTGTCCCCAAGGACTCGTCCACCAGAAGTGGCCCCAGGCGCACCTCCCCTTGCCCTGCTCTTGTGAAAGAAAGAAAAAATGAACTCCTGTGAGTCATCAGGCGGTACGTCGGTTAACGCGGCTGGATCCCACATGGCCAACTGTGTGGTTTGAATCCTGTACCCAGCAGCTTGAAAAACATACCGGGCACATGTGCATGCATGCCCTAAATCCCAGGAGAAAGAGAAGAGATTGTGGTGTCACCCCCCCCT